TAGACGACACACACACACACCACACACACACACACACACACACACACACACACACAAATTTTTCACATCCCACTGCTATAGATTCTGTAAAGGGGTACGTGCAGGAAGAAGCTATATGGTGGGGAGACCCATGCTTTTATCTGAAGATTTGTTTGACCCGTGCCATGTATTGTATCATACACAGCTCAGCGTAACTACTGGACATACCTCGGGTCACTGACCACACCTCCTCTGTTTGAGAGCGTCACCTGGATCGTCATGAAGGACCCTGTAGAGGTGTCTTCAGAACAGGTACTTGGGCTTGACTTTGCAAATTTGTTGCCAAAGTGGGAAAGTCCACCAGTAACAATATCAGGACTGTTGATGTTCTATTCACCATCTATCTTGGGGGTTGACTAGGGAAGATCTGGCTTTGTTTTTGTGTGTGTGTAGGGGAACAAGTTGCAGTAAATGACACCGTGCCCTTTCCCTTGCTTTAGCTGGCTGCTCTGAGGAACCTACTATGGGAGACCCCTAGCGGAGAGGGCCAGATGTTCAACAACTACCGACCCCCTCAGCCTCTGCACGGCAGGGTGGTCAGGTCCACCTAACCAGGAGGAACAACCCAGGACAGGCCGGGGCAGTCTGTTCCGCAGTTTGAACACACTGTGGGTCACTCCTAGAGTGTGGCCAAGTTCAAACACAAACAGAATTATTTTTTACAACAGGAGCGCCACCTTTAATACAGGGTTTCACATTTATCTTTGGTGAAGGTCATTTTGGAAGTATTTCATAATCTGCGTTCCTAGCTCAGTATTATTCTCTACCTGCTACATAACAGGAGTGTGAATATGATTGGAGCATACATGTCAGACATTCATGATACTAAGGGTGACCTAAGTATCTTATTTTCTGCAAAGATAACATCGTTTGAAAGAGTGTTAACGGTGTTTGTTAGAGGTGTCACGTGTGTTGTCAGGTGCAAAATGGCTGTTGCTTTGTGGTGAATCTAAATTTCATGTATTTGGTGCAAAGCATATGATAATCATGTTTTAAAGGGTGTCATCATAGTTATTGTCATCAAAAACTTACTTGTTGCATGCTAAAGCTTCTACAAACACAATACTGTAACCCTGCTCTGGACACATTACCTTACACTAAATCAGATATGACAGACAACATTCCAAATGTCCTATCTCATGCACCTGGGAGAGCAAAACATTTTGGTTGACAACAGATTAAAATTTATATGCTCACAACATGTACTCTATGCCATCTTTCTTCTTGATAAGGTACATAATCCTTAATTAACTTTGCAGAACCACTGTGATATACATGTGCTATTACGTCCCGAAAGCGCCACTTGGCGGAATAACGTACAACTGCATCATAGTAAACGCCATATAAAGATCGAATCGCTCTGTAGATCCTGCCGACCCCCAAGTAGAAATGGTACCGTCGTCACGACTTTCCATGACCATAAACTGGGTCATCATCAGTTCTTGTCAAGCACGCACTGAGCCGGTGTGTGGCTGCAGCAGTGGTTGGAGAGGCAGGCTGCACACATATTATACACTGCTATCGAGCAAAATCAGCTGCCCCTGCTCATAAAGTACCAAAGTATTCAGTGAGCTTAGCAGACACCTGAAATCCGGAACGTCAGACACCTGAAATCCGGAACGTCAGCAGCTGTGAATAACGATAACCACCTGGACATCAGGTGTTCACAGCAAGTCGCGAGCACCAAGGTCGACGTCGTCATGTCGGGCAAGAACCCAGCGTGGGGGTACGGCCAACAGAATGGTAACGTGTTGTCCTATTTTCATTGGCATATGTATCTTCCATTCCGTATGCGGGCCATGTTTGCTACAACCAGATGCTTAGAGACCTTAAGTGTTTGTTTTAAGTATAGCGTCGTTTGCGTACAGGTAACGGGCCAACTGCTTTATGACCCAGCATCAACCAAGCTTTAAATATGGTTCTTTCGCCGGTAGAGTGCTACTGGCTTCAGTATACCAAAGAGTTTCAAACCTTATTGCCTATACATATCTACAGCAAGTGGGTCACGCTTACAATAATAAACCAGCGGCCGTATCAAAAAGGGTCACAATAACCTTGCTTGAGGACGTCCTAACGTTATTCACCAATATGCATAGCCTGATAGTAATGTGGACAGTGCGCGGGGCCTATGTTGGGGCAGTGTGTGATGCTGCTTTTTCTCCCAACATGCTGTCCTTACGTTCACGTATTTAGTACGTGCATGGCTGAAGCGAATCTAATTTCGTACACCGCAAATTGCACTGGAAGGCGAGAATTACAAGAGTATCGCGTTGCCAAAATGGATGCCATCTTTCTATCACTGTGGAGGAATGTCTGACTCTATAGTCAACAAAGCACGACCGACTGACAACATGATTTTCTTCGTGACGGTTTGAAAATATCTTTACATTTAGAATCCCCCTCTACAGACGACCTGTATCTGGATACTTGCCTAACAATGGGTCCTCTTCTGTATGCATATATACACATTCTTTTATAAGAAAGGCTGAAGGTTTTGATCGATACGACTCCAACACGTCTTTGGGTATGGGAATGAATACTGAATGTCTGTCTGGGAGCCTCATATAAGTAGAGCAATGTAAATGGTATATTGGTGATATTGGCATACATGACTACACATGAACAACTTATTCTAGATGTCTTTTCATTTTGATACACACAGACGCCTAGGCTGATGAACAGTGTAATCCCCAAGCAGATCATACGACAGCAAGGCAGTATGCATAGGCGGTGTCCATTAGCCACCGAAGAATACTGCCTTGCCACCGTATGATCTTCTTTAAGATTACACTGTCACTCATCCCTCGTCCGCAGTGTACTAAACAATGACCTGAGTCAGGACAAACCTTAATTTGGGTTTTCAGAGCCCCATGTGGCCGTTATCTCCCGATTTAGCTGCACGTGAAGATCGATAATCGATTCCACGCTGTTAGTGGAAGTGCCCTGCTGGGCTGTTCATCTCATCAGACACGATAAAACTGTAACAAGTGTTGTTTTCAAATTTAGAAACACACACAGGGGGTTGTTGAGACAGTGCTTCTTGACATGCCCAGACATAGGGTATACGTGACAGGCGCCAACATTACACACAAGAGACACAAGAGTCGTGTATTCCTCGTTCGCATGTCCACCGAGAAAGCGGTTTAAATACAGCCTTAAATCTAACCAAATTGTTTAGAGAGAAGACCATTCGCACAGGCACTTCGGTTTGTATGGTGATCTTTCTGAGACAGATTATCCGATAAGGCGGGTTATAAATGGATAATAAATTGCTATAGAAAGCAATTTATATCCGAATCCCACGCGGCACATGTCTGCCATACGTAATCACAGACCTTCGACCCACCAACAGCTAAGCCAAGATTTCCAACCTCTCTAACTAAACACCTGCTCTAAAACATAACACTGAATCTATGAAGAACTGACTTTCATTATTATTTTTTACTATTATGGTCTCTTTCAGAGCTTTGATTTGGACAACGGAATGTGTACGTCGCTGCACAGACACATACATATATAGACATAGACTTGACCAAGGGATAAGATGTACAGGCAGCTAGGGATAATAAATTCAGATGTTCAGACAGACCATCCCAGATATTTATCGGTTGCAGTTGCAATTTTTGGCGAGGAGTGTCTATCGTCTAAAAATAATTGTCCGCATCATCAAGTTCTGAATATCTTAAAATTTTTATTCTTGTAGACGATATTATTGTTTTATCACAGAGAAGATATCACAAATCTATAGTGCCGTTCAAGTCATCTGGTTCTTTTATGATACATTTTAATATTGATATTATTCCGATTGATAATGCCTGTGTTCAACACTCGTGTGTGGCTAGCCCTCACTCCTGAAAAAGTATAAGAAGAATATGTGATACTTTAATTCGATATTGGGAATCATGCAGAGGTGAAAATACGGCGCAGCTGCTAACGGGTCCATCTATGTTACACCGTCATTTGAGCACGATGATAGATCTGTGCCCAAATATTCGCCATGGCAGCCCGGTAAGGTTACATGTAGGTTACGGCAACAATTATAATAACAGCTCCCATCCCTGACATATTCTACATGCCGTCACATGGTGCTAGATGGCAGATGACTTTGTATTGACCGCCGAGCGGCTGCGACGGGTAGACGTCGGAATACATATCAAATTAGTCCCCAGCTTTTAATTATAATGCTGCACAGAACATTACACAATAGTGATAAAGAAAAGATAAGGTATGCAAACATTGTAGATTTGCCACGCCAAATAAAGCAAAGCAAATAAATCAAGCTTAAGGTATTTTCGTTTACCTGTGTCAAATAGACTTCATATTTGGTGCCGTTTGCGGTGTGGACAGAAAACTAGTACTGATGCTATCGTGTGTGTTTTTTTTTTTTTTTTTTTTTTTTTTTTGCTTGTTTGTTCTCAACGGTTGTCGTGTTAGAGTTTTAACCAGAGTGAATGGAGGCTACTGACTCCAGAGGCCTACACTCCTAGTGGCTAGCCTGATTAAATCGCTTTTGCCGGCCGCCCAACATCCAGCCGGCTATGTAGGGAGCCCCCCGGAGCTTGGGTTTCAGAGGCTACCTAATACACATGGCCATCCTTGCATTGCATCGATCCTAACGTTGAATCGAAGAGGTTTTAAATCTAGATAAAATTTCTGAACTATAGTTATCACAATACTCTTCATTGCCAATGACGTGCACCATAATATTGATCTGGGACTGAAATAGCTTTACAAGCGTACCAAGTAATTAAGAACACTGCTGAATAACATCTCGTGGAAGTTTATAACCATTGCCTCTTTGTACCGCAGGCGCCAGTTATTGTAGATAACAACAGAAATCGGGCATTTATCAAGGTCAGTCGTGAATGCGGTTATTTGCAGTTCGTTAAAGGTTAACGTCACGTTTCGCCTAGTAGTTAGAAAAGGCTCACGAGACCCAGCAACGCTGGAATATTTGTGAAGCCCATAAGTTATGCAGATGTTTATCAGCTACTAAAATTGATCTTGAAACTTCATCATTGTGTAGGGATTTACCCAAGGTTTTTGTTACCTTGTAATCATTTTATCTTTGATTTGTCATTTTAGTAATTTTACCTTCCTGTTTGAACACGGGTGTCAATATGGCTTGTTTTATCCACGTCCTATCCTTTATCAGGTATATTTCAGTAGTTAGTTTAATACAACTACAAAATGTATATGTATTTCCCCTCCATCTTCATTGACATGGAATCATCCCCTCCGTGATCACGGTAATTACTGGGCTATCCCCGTGCAGTGATGACGTCACAATACGTCTCCCTTAGCGCTTCCCGCGTGACGATGTCCTACGTCATAGGTTAAAGGTTAAGCTGAAGGATTTCCCGCTTTCCGCGTAGTGTACGAATTTAGCTCTGTAATTTAGAGTCTTCTGGTGAGCGCTGGGCTGTAATCCTTACCTGATCCCATAGGAATGTATTCGTGGTAGACAGACATTAGCTGATCTTCTTCGGTTCGACATTTGCATCCATATGTCAGTATGCTGATCACTGAGGGCATTTCGGCGTGGTGAGGGACTCGGTAAATCATAATTTACTAGGCCCTTAGGATGTGAGTGACCTGAGTTTGACCTCCTTTTGACTGTCCTGATTACCGTTATAGTATCGAGTATCATCTCTTATTCCATTGTTCATGATGATGGTGGCAATGATAAGTGTGTTAAGGTCGTGTGGTCATGTAGAATTTCTGACGAAACGTAACGTTATAACTTATGGGGTTACATGTGTTGTACCTTGAAGGAGGACTTCCTGGTGACTTAGAGATGTTAGGAAATTTTATGTCCATGACCGTTACACGTTGAAGCCTTCCCTGGAACAGCTAAGTACAAACCTAGATATTATGTTATCCCATGTCCTGCTACTCCATATTATAGGAAAAAACCAGGTGCAGGAAGGTGCCTTAAAGGTGGGCGTTTAGTTTGACCATGGACTGACCCATGTGAGCCCTCTCTTGGCTTCAGATTTCAGTTGTGCTCCGTAGAGCCTTATAGAGGTGACAGACCCCCGTCCTGCCATGAATGATAAACATCAGAGTGAGTCTCGGCATTGCACGGAGTGGAACTACTATGGTCAAGGTGAGCTTTGTGGGTCCGTGAAGGTCCTGGAAGTCAGTCTGTGAAGCTGCTTCAGCGTTGAAAATATTAATAGGAACACCTTTTTACGTAATGTTTATTTGGTCATGTCGGTCATGCCTTGTGACTTGTGAGTCGGTCACTGTACTGGATTTTTTCCAGGTTGTAGCTTATCGATGAGATTTTATGAATTGCAAATGCATTGCGCAGTACAGATCAGTACACTGCACAGTGCCGTCCTATGTCCGTGTAGAATCTAAGCTTCTATCCGTGTGCCATCATGCTGTTTGTATTCTGCACCCCAGGTCCGAGCAAGTGGCACGAGCAGTTTCCGGTAGCCAAGGGACAGCGTCAGTCGCCCATAGACATCGTCACAGACCAAGTCGTGTTCGACCAGACGTTGTCAGATAACCCACTGAAGATCAGCTACAGCAACAACTGCTGTCAGAGTGTCACTAACACCGGAGCCTCCTTCCAGGTCGCCGTGGATGGGGCAGGAACTGGTGAGTACTTCACATCGCTGCCGATAGTGCCGAAATAGATTCGAGATGGTTCAATGATAATTCAGTGACTGCTCGCTTAATTTCTGAATGATCAACGCTACTGATCCTTTCATGATCTGTGTTACTGATCATATGCTCTGACGCCATCCTTTCTCTGATCGTTGTCCTTACATTTTCTCCACAGAGATCAGTGGTGGTCCCCTGGACAGCACCTACAAACTTGTCCAGTTCCACGCTCACTGGGGCCATGGCGGGAACGAAGGGTCTGAACACACGGTGGACGGAGTCACCTACCCTGCAGAGGTCGGTATACAAGCATGTCACTGTTACCACGAATATAATTTCACTACCAAAGATTTCTCAGAGATTTCATTTCTTAGACACGTAAAGTGGCAAATGTTTTTTATAATCTTTTCCAGCTCCATCTAGTACACTGGAACACAAAGTACAAGGACGTCACAGAAGCCGTGGACAAACCTGATGGCCTGGCTGTGATCGGAATCTTCTTTACGGTCAGTATGGTGACCAGTCCGTTTGCGTACTTGGTAAAATAATAATGTTAGACTTTTTAATCATTAACGCTCAGACCAGTGCTGGTAAAACGCACGTAAATTAGGTTATGTCAGGAAGGGTCAATTTGGAAAACTTTACGAAAGCCGTCAGCTAAGTTGATTACTCTTGTATGATATTTCAATGAAAAACATCAACAATATGTGAACTAACGTTTCTTTGTTCTTTTCAACATAATGCGCAGGAGGGAAAGGAGCATTCAGGCTTCAAGCCAATAACAGATATGTTCTCTAAAGTTCCCCGTAAGGTACGTTATTTTACGTGAATCGACATTATCAGACTTTTGAATAGCTTATTGCCGTTTTCAAAATAGAAGCAAGCGACGTTTCTATATCTGTATTGAATTTAGCCTTATAACCTTCAACGTAACAAACCAATATGATCCTTGTCCGTTGTTTTTAAACTTTGTTTGCATAAATATGCAATAACTGTAGCACTTTACTTTCAGACCAGACAATTACATTGGCTCCGAATCGCTACCTCATATGATATGCATGGTTATATCGTTGTTTTGTGCTTCACCATTGAAAAATATTATTGAGATGTTTTCAATAATTCCTTGACAGACGGACAAGGTGGAGTTCAAGTTCAAGTTCGACCCGGCCTGTCTACTGCCAGGTAAATATGTCCTTTTCCAAGGTCTTAAACTGTGTTTTACAAGACGTCACACCAAATTATATTGTACCCCTATCTCTTTCAAATAATTGAATAAGACGAAATACAAGAATGAACTATTATATCAAAGGTGAAAGGACACAAAGGAAGATGAGTGTGACCAGTACTTACAGGTATTTTGTGTTGTGAATAGCTGAACGTAACTACTGGACATACCTCGGGTCGCTGACCACACCTCCTCTGTTTGAGAGCGTCACCTGGATCGTCATGAAGGACCCTGTGGAGGTCTCTGCGGGACAGGTACTTGGGCAAAGTTTGTTGAAGTGCAAAAGTCACTGTAATGAACAACGTTTGGACAACTACATCACCATTCACATACAAGGGTAGGACTCTAGATGGATCCTGAAAGGGAAAACAGAAAAGGAGGGTTTAGAAATTGACAAGAAAAGTAGAAAACGACAAATTTCGAAAATCGGCACCGTTTACTGGAAACATTTGCTGTCCTATCTAATCACACAATGTTGAAGCTAAGTACATACCTCATTCCCACATTTCCAACTTTAGAATCTAGTTTGAAACTTGACTCTTTTTCCACCTGTCAAAGGTAGGAATAGTCTAAACAGATAGCAAAGTGTGGAGCTAAACTTCCACTAATCTAATCGTGCCCTTTTCCCTTATGTCAGCTGGCTGCACTCAGGAGCCTACTATGGGAGACCCCAAGCGGAGAGGGCCAGATGGGCAATAACTACCGACCTCCGCAGCCTCTGCAAGGAAGGCTGGTCAAGGCTTCTTTTACAGAAGAAACCACTGTGGAGGACATAATCCCGGCCGTGGTGTTGAGCGCCCTAGCCATCGGCGTAGGCGCCATCTTTACGATATCTATGATTCGGACCAAACGCTGGTGACGTTCTACTCAGAAACGCCACCTTGCGGGTGTTACCTTTACCTTTGGTTGCAGTCATACATTCGCTCAGCTGTTGTTCTACCTCAACATATCTTTATAGATAAGCAAATTATAGCATTATAATATTTCTTGCCACGGAATAGCTATGTTTACGTGTTACACACCTTTAGCCACTAACTGCCAAGTAATGTAACCGTGACCTTTATTTTACCAAAGAGACGAGGAATGCTATTTACACATTCCTGTATATGACTCTGCATCATGTTCGGCTGTATGCCATCATTGTGTTTGTTTACGTTTCTTATTGCATTTCAATTGCTGTATAGTGTTTTTATCATTTAACCGACTTGCAACAGTTGTATCTCAGGCTACGAGCAACACTAGAATTTCTCATGATGTCTATGTCCTTAATATGAAAGGATAAAATCTATTAGAAGATAATATAGATGCAAAAGACGTATGTCATGTATAGGTATAGAAATGACCGGCACATACCATCCATAGGCCTGATACTGCGTTTGAGTTATGTTAATTGGCAAATGATATCAAGTTATGAAGACCAATACTAGTATGACTCTGCGATATAACTGTTATATAACCAACGTAAAATCAAAGTGACAGTCAGACTTCATGTCATACTACTGATTAAAAAGTTCGCGAACTGATTACGACAATGCACTATTCACTATTTGTTTGGTATACTTGAATGGAAGTTTGGTGATACGTAGATGTAGCACCAATGCAAACCTATAACATTAGTCCTGCACACTGGATGGCCATCTTCAAACATCATTTCACGATGTTAACATGACGTTATGACTTAACAAACTGTAACATTGACAGGACAAAGAAACAAAGAATGTTTGACCTTCTAATTGTGATAGATATCCGGGATCAGTCAATTGTCAAAACAAACAAACAACTCTTGTTGCGCATATCATGACGTTCCAAGTTACCTCTATGTCGACACAAAGAAAAATTGAAACGCTTCTGATGACGTCGAAAGTTTTGTGGTGACAAAAAGAAACAAAGAATTCTCGAACGCGCGCTCTATTACGTCATTCGAAGCTTCGATCTGGTGTCGAACACTGCACTGGACGTTTTTCCTCGTTTTTCCGACCTTCTCGGGGATTTCCGCGAATCTAGAGATCGGCACTCCGTAAAGTGCCGTTCAAAATCGTCATATAAAATCTTAGAAGTGCGTTTTGATTGTCAAAATGTCGAAGAAGCCCGGTACCGGTACCGGTGGCGGCCGCGTCGCCAATATCTACCTTCCCGATGGGCCGAGCAAGTGGCATGAGCAGTACCCGGTGGCCAACGGAGAGCGTCAGTCTCCGATCAACATCGTCACGGAGAAAACCGTCTATGACAAGACGCTGTCAAAGACGCCCCTGAAGGCGGTCTACAACAACAACTGCTGCGACAGCGTCACTAACACGGGAAACTCCTTCCAAGTCAACGTGTCTGGGGCAGGAACTGGTGAGAAACGTTACATAATTTGTGTATTTCTGAAGTCTACAATGGAATTTGAGTTCGATGGTATTCTGTGGGAATGAACTAGTAATGTGACTATCCATTAGCTGACTATTCACAGCGCGCTTCAATTTTGTAGGGGACCAAGAGCAGTTAGAGGGTTGAGAAACAGGCACCTATGCTAATGAGAGGAACTACTTACGACATCCTGTGTGGAGTGAATCTGAGTTTGAAGCGTGTATGTCCTAGCTGTCTATCATTACAGTTAATCACCAAGCTTCTTTTTAAATTAACCTGTAACGTTACATAAACGTGTAACGACTACTACTGTGCTTTGGCGTTTCCCGTTGAAAATATATCCTGAAACGGTACATTTCCCACTGCACCACAGAGCTCAGTGGCGGTCCTTTGAACGGCACTTACGAGCTTCTCCAGTTCCACGGTCACTGGGGCCCTTACCTTAAGACTGAGGGGTCTGAACACACTGTGGACGGAAAAACCTACCCCGCAGAGGTCGGTGTGCAAACGATTTCCAAATCTTCAAATTTGGTGTAAATACTCGTCTGTGGTTAGGACGAATTACGTAAGCACAAACCACATGTTCAGAATAAGTACTGATAAGTACTCATAAGTATTAATACATACACCATAGCCTCTACCAGGCTCCAGGAAGTGGCTGAAAAAGTAGAAGTTGACAAAATAGACTATGATATGCCAGGAAAGATGGTCCGCTTTCCGGAGCCTGGTAGAGCCTAGCATATACCACCGTTCCAATGTGGGTGACTATTTTTCAAACAAGTCTATACACAAGTAAATTGCCAGAAAGCAATATACATTTTTATAACCTTATTCCCAGCTTCATCTGGTGCACTGGAACATTAAGTACAAGAGCGTCTCTGAGGCTATGAAAGAGCCTGATGGACTGGCTGTGATCGCTGTCTTCTTGAAGGTCAGTAGTAGAGGCGTTAGTTACAGCTATATACTATAGGCCTCAGAGAATGAAAGAACGTGTACTGTTTCAGGGAAGTTTAAACTGTAACTTCGATTTATGTTCCGGGAGTCGGATTCGAATTCAATTTGGAAACATTCACTTATCGTTCAGGTCGCCGAGCATTGACGAAATCTGTGTTAACAATCATGTATCACTGAACCCTCGGCTTGCTGGCCATTGCATGCTCCCTGTGTTGGGGAATGCACGTCCTCTTTGAATATGGAGAACTGCGTTTGTACTACTAGTCTACAGTGTTACTAAAAAGTCCTGAAAACATCAGCATTACATACGCGAGAAAAAGGTCGAACCTTCACAACATTCATTGGGCACAACACTGGGGACATGAATCTATTTGAGAGCATCAGGACAACACTACTTCAGCTAAATGCCGTCCTTTTCCTCGACATGTCAACAGAGGGGACATGACCATCCAGGCTTCGCGAGGATCGAAGACCTGTTCCTGAAAATTCCACACAAGGTGAGATTCATCCTCTTTGACTTTTTAGTGGATTTACAAATCTTAACATGAAACTTTTAAGCGTAGACAAAAAGCGCGGACCGAAACAGGAAACACAACATTTTTTCCTAGGCCTTACCTGCCTAAGCAATAGATCTAGTTCTCTATACACGTACACTTATCTCGCTTTTCGTTACCATGTGGAATGACAAGGCCCCAATTCATAAAACCTTTTCTTGTTCCTTTGTCAGGGAAGGAAAGTGGACATCGAGTTCAGGTTCGACCCTACAACTCTTTTGCCAGGTAGATATAAGTTCTTAGTCTGCTTCAAAATGCGTATCATAAACCTGATACTTATTGGAATCTTCAAAGTTTGTCCTTGTTTCATATGCGTGAATGGCAAGACATAAAATATTGGAACCAGTGCGTTACAAATTTAAAGTTTGGCACATACTGTTGTGTCATACTACGCAACATTGCAATAACAACCCACACAGGAGTTTGAATATTATCAAAGCTGAAAGTATAACCAAGGAGCTGTTGTAAAGGGAAAACATTAAGATGAGTCCCACCTGTTTGAATATATGATCAAAGAAAAAAGGCACTGTTGCAAAAGAAAAAAAACATCAAGATGAGCCCCACCTACCCTGTGTTGTGTGTTGTTCCTAGCTCACCGTGACTACTGGACGTACCCCGGTTCCCTGACCACACCTCCTCTGTACGAAAGTGTCACCTGGATCGTCATGAAGGACCCTATCGAGGTTTCTGTGGAACAGGTACATGTTCTGGGGTTCAATTTTTCAAGTACGAAATTTAGCAGCCATCAACTTTAATCATCTATAGAGATACATACGAACTTCTGTGTAGATGTACATATGTGGTGACACCCTAGTTTTAAATAGTTTTCAGAGCATTTAAAAATAGAGGTCGAAGTGATGAACTAAATGAATAAATGTCGTGCTTTTCCTTTGTGTCAGATTGCTGCTCTGAGGAACCTGCTATGGGACACCCCTAGCGGAGAGGCCCCGATGTACAACAACTACCGCCCTCCGCAGCCTCTGAACGGCAGGAAGGTCCGGGCTAACTTCACGGAGGGCTTCGGTTCCCGTATCGCGGAGATGGTCCCGAACTGGGCGTGGGGAGCCATGTTCGCCGGCGTGGGCGCCGCGAGCTACGCTCTCAGCCAGATGGGCTAACAAGGAACCCCACCTTGCGGGATGTCAGAGCCATGCATACTTCTTTTCTACCTTTGCGATGATCGATCAACTTTTTGTCACCGTATTTTCCGTCACAAATGACACTCTAAGCTACTGAAAGTATATTCTCCATGCTCTGGATACAGCGACATGTATAGGCTTTTTGTATCGTTGTTTACAGTACATATTTCAGTGTGTACACCTAAATCGTATTTTGCTATGACATCATACATACTACAAAATGTATGTACTAGTAATTTGTATTCTACCATCCGTTTTCCAACACGCGCTCTGGTTTCAGAATTTAACTTCCATCTATATATATTTATATCATGCCAAGACACGATGTCCTTAATTAGAAAGTGTTACAGAATGTAGAAGACAAGATCTGAAGACTGGCTCAAGGCACGGTACGCTCCGTTTTACAAATTACAGCTATGTAAATAAGAAGGGGCACATAATTTCATGTTCTGTAGAATTACGTCTGATTGCTAAATACTGATGGCTCTGCAATATACAATATCAAATGACTTTATGTCAAGCTGCTTGATCAATCTGTGATTTGTGGTGTAGCAATTTCCCGTATGATCTTAAATTTAAGTGGGAGCAAAATGAAAGCTTTGGCATTGTAGGGTATTGTGCAGTGCGTGAGTGTAGCACAATTTTACAAGTCTACATACGTCAGGCCATGAAGACCGCTGCTTGCTGCTCGCTACTGCTTCCAAAATCACCACAAGAGTATAGAAAGAGGTCTCCATTGTATCAGATCAAGAAAATCATCGCAAAACCTACCCCACTGCGGTACCGGTCGCAATCAGGATATCCGTGCCCCATCTGAGTACGTTGTATGTGTACAGGTGACCACTGCTTCTACTGAAGCTTTTGTAATTAGAAAGTCGCTTGAGTGACGAGTGGAAACTGTAAACCTGAACAACAAAAATGACACCGGTTTGAACAGGCACACCTGTAAGACATTTTGGCACAGAATATTGCATGGATATATGTCAACTTTATTGAGTAACGCTGCGTACAAATAAACTAAGCAAACATCTAACTGGGTGAATAAATTGCATACGGTTTACCAACCTGGCAGTCGCCGAACACATCACTATACCATGACGCAAGAACGTAACTGATCAATATCTTACGTAAACATACAGACAGATCGGGCAATGTCTTAATTGCATTTCGAAGTCAAACTTGTCCACCTAGACAACATGGTTAAAGTGTGACCACTACAATCATTCATCGGACGTCAGCTGGGAAAGCTAATAAGGTTACATACCGCTTACTGGCCGGAGAAATCTGACGGAGAGACGTACGCGGGCGTTTCCTCGATTTGTTAGAGTCGGTTGGCAGGACAACGCTCCCGACAACAGCAAGCTGCCAGGTCGTTCTGGACCGGCTGCACTCACGGAGGCGGTGAAACTGTAGGCTATATGGAGCCAGACAGGACTCAAGCCAACGTTGATTTAAAATATTGAGAACGACCATCAGTACTAGCAAGCGTGGCACACAAGTACCGGACGACTAGTTAACGGTTTTTTAAGACAGTCACACAGCCCGAACAGCAGTATGGGCTGCTCATGTTCCTCCGTGCGGGAGAAAAACGTCAGTCTCCCGGCGAAATCGGCTTCTCGACACCCCGGGACCACGCAGTCTCCCGTTAACATCGACACGGTGGACCCGCTGGTGGTGTACTGTGACTCCCACCTGTTGTCCCATCCTCTCACCCTGCAGAACTACCGACCCGGCTGCGCCAGGAGGATAGTGAACGATGGACACACCTTTAAGATAGAGATGCGCCAGGAACACGAGTCTCTCTCTACCTCTCTACCGGGCCAGATCACTGGCGATAGTGATAGAAAAGGTATGTCTCAAAAAGCACACTAGTACGCGTACTTTTATCGTTATATTTTTCATTGATAAGAAATATATTTCCAGCAGATACGCGCCGAAATTTCTTCCCATTCGATCCAACTAAACAGCGTGTAAAATTGTTTTTTGTACACTGTACACCAGAAGACGTGCCAAAAATAAGCGGAGGCCCACTGCACGAAGATTACAAGCTGCTACAGATCCATGCGCACTGGGGCGGCAAGGACGACCAAGGGTCTGAGCACACGGTGGACGGCCAAGTCTACCAGGGAGAGGTAGCCAAACTTGCTTGCAACACTAAGAATTGACTGAAAATCTGAATGAAGAAATTAATTGTGAGCTAGGCTATAACGCAAATATATATTACATTTTAAAATTAAAGGCCGAGTAGTGACAATGTACGCTCGTGTCTTGTTTTCAACCCGTGGGATCAAGATCGTATAGTTCAAGCTCCTTGGAAGGATAAAATAAAATGTCACCTGTATCATGGCGATTCGTTCTACAATCATTATAATGGGCACGCGCGACTGGTTGTCAGTCTATCAGATTATGGAAATGTCCCTCAAAGTAGCATTAAGAATACACACGACGCACAAGTAGGGCTATATTTGAAAAATAGCCGAGGGTGATACACTTTTAGTAAATCGGGTTAAATGTATTGGATTAAGTAGCATCAAAAGTGCACACGGCGCATAAGTAGGGCTACATTTGAAAAGTAGCCTAGGTGAATACGATTTGAGCGAATCGGGTTAGAGGTATTGCAAATAAAGCGTCTGTGTTATGTATTCCAGGTACATCTGGTACATATGAACACCAAGTACCCTTCTTTTGAACAAGCGCTGACCAAACGTGACGGGCTGGCCGTACTCGGAGTATTTCTTCAGGTAACAGGCACTTCTGCCACCATTATGGAATAGAAGTACATGTAAATCACGCTGGCATTGCGTACTGCGGTTGCGACACCGGATTGTCACAGTTTTCGTTATGGATGTTTAGTCGCATCAGAATTTTGGCCCGTTGCAGACGATATATTTTCCTACATGTTTGAAAATCATAGACGGGATGTCATCCTTCAATACGCAAATACGACCTTAAAGTTAAACGAAACACTGGTGCTGTTCAAAACCTGCAACAATAGATGCTATCTGTGCGATCCTGTATATTGCCTCAAAGACTATATTGCTATCACAAATCAGTATAAAACATGACCATCTTGAAATTTCATCCGGTGAACAAAATCACAGGCTAACTCAGTCTTCAGTGGCATATTCCTGATTGTAGAGATATAACTGGCCACTCCTAACATCCTACCTCTGCAGCTCTCAGATGAAGGTCATGAAAGTTTCCAAACCATCACAGATATGCTGGACAACGTCAGTTACAAGGTGAGTTGGTTCTTAGGCTAACTAAAAATCACGTACTGTCTCCACCCCCTTTCATCTCACCTCATCTATCTCTTGACCTCGTTGAAGGTCGTTGGGGCACCATGACTTGATCCACTATCCTCCTCCATTTAACTCTGTCCTGCGCCGCTCTTATATGACTTCAGCTAGATTCAACCCAGTCCAATTCAACCCAGCCACAGAAAAACCTTCATATAAAAGTTGTTGGTTTGCCCTTTTTCATATGGTCTCTGGTTTGTTGGTGTTCTAGGGCGACAGTCATGAACTTGATGACAACTTCAACCCACAATGCCTCATTCCAGAAGGTAAGAGGACATGTTTGATCAATCTGTAAAACCATAACCACGTGTAGCGGTCTTTAAAAATTCATCATACAATCCGAAGTGTTTGTCTTGATGTTGTTTATGAGACAAGTCCCAGTTTAAAAAAAAAAAACATCATCACACGCCTCAAACGTATACCTGCTCTCTGCTGTGTCCTAAAAACAAACTATACCCTCCCATTACCAACTACTATATACATGTACTTCTTTCCCAGACCACCAGAAGTACTGGTCCTACCCAGGGTCACTTACAACAGGTGGCTACCAGGAATGTGTCATCTGGATCATCTATAAGAACACCCTTAAGGTCTCTCACCAACAGGTAAGAGTACAGCACTGTATCTTAGCTCAAAAATGTCTGCCCTCTCTTCTAAGTTGTCTTACATCCTCACAGTCAATGAAACAATATAATGGACAGTACCTCAAAAAAGTACTTCTACCTTCACTTCTGTGTATAACAAAGGCTAGCTATACCAATGCAAAGCTGTTGACAAATATGCATTACATGTGGTTATAAACACAGCAATTATTCCAATACTTTCTTATGTATCAGTATACAGCTGACCAAAGTTTGGACGTGAATAGCAAAATTTATTCACAACCACTCTCGTTTAACAAGACCTGACATTTCTTGTTAAACATTAACAAGTGGTTGTGAAAATCATTCACCAACCTGATGAATGTTATAACTCGTTCTACACTCCCAGCTGGAGGTACTGAGGAGTCTGAAGTCCTACCCACGAGAGGAGGACCCTAACATAGACCAGGATCCCGCCACAGAGAGACGAGTGAGCGCTCACATCCTGGACAACTACAGACCCATCCAGCCTCTTCACAAGCGCCGCATCAGGGCATCCTTCCCTGGGAACAACTACATTGACACGTGTCAGAAAGGCTGACAGATTATACCAGTCACTTGATGGTGGTGGTCAGAACCATCTAGGCATTTTCTCCATTATTTTCTTGATTTCTGTATCCAGGTAGCTTCAATTCAATGTACCAGGAATAAAAATAGGACAGCAGGATGTATACACAGTGTCAAACATCCTTAGTTCATGTTGACAACTGGGAAAACTTTATTAAAATGTTCATAGCTCTCTGATGACAATTTTCCAGTACAACATGAAATACACCAGTATAAGGGGCTGCTTATACATTCATGTTACTAGTATTAGCCTTTTAAATTTCACAGTTTGATGCTTGTTACAGATTTGTGTCATGATGAGTTCTATCTATACAGGGATGACATCAACAGTTTTTAAGTACAATGTATGTATTTCTAAGGTTGTGTTTTGATAAAAGAAGAGTCAATTCATAATTGGCTGTTTACATGTGTATGTCTGTTCTGATCTTGACTGAAGTCTAGAAAGTATAATAAGGATAGACAGACAGACAGGACTGAAATCTTCACAAGGAATGTTGTAATATTGTTGTTCTTCATCTGTAAGATCAGGAGCTCCAGTATTTCTACTTGGGTTTCTTGAATTTCCCACCACTCATCTTGGCTTTCTTGGATGCAGAGCCTTTTGCACCTTTTGGAGGCTGTAGGGAAAGATTGCAGAATTAAAAGGAAAACAGAAGGAAATTTCTTTCGGTTTCCATAAAGGCTCAATCATGTACACGTTCCGTATACGTCTTGGTGCAATTTATTCCCAACCCAAGCATTTATAAATTGAGTTTCAATTCTTTATTGTCATATATTGTCATATATTCTAACCCTTCATTTGAATACAACACATATCCATCTTGTTGTCTTTAGAAACAAATTACATGTATTCAACAAAGTTTTCAAAAAAAGGACAAACATCCCTCTCTCAACTCACCTCCTTCCTTTTGACCGATGGTGAAGACATGACCTTGAAAAAGCTGTCGAGACGACCTTGTGTCGAGGTGTGGCGGGCAGTCCTCAGCTTCTTTGCACCATTCTTTATCCTATCCTCACTGGAGAGGTAGAGACTAGTTAACAGTGTCTATAACGAAGACTACATCAAAATATCAACATTAACACCATACAATATTGTTTCAGATTGATGATCTATGAACATATGAAGAAATTCTGAACAGTTGAAGACTACATTACAAATAAAAATGTACCAACAATGTTACAGCATGTACAATGAATATGATGCTAATTTTCTAAAGAATAAAGAACAAACTAAGGTAAAACACACTGCTAGGAAAGGAAACACCTGGAGAGAAGTGTTATCCCCACCTGAATCCCTTCTCATTGCTCATAAACTGCACCAGTCCCTCCTCATCTGGGTCAGTCCACTTCAACTGGGTACAAAACATGAAGTCATACACACATACAGCACAAGTACACATAGCACACAGGCAAGCTAATGCTGCTCTTCATTCTACATACATACACACTCTAGGAGTGTAAAACAACACTTAATAAAACCATGAATCAGATCATATCAACATAACTCAGCACATGATGAAGGTGTGAGAAGACTTCCTACCTCCACCTGGTCTGCTGGAGTAACTTCAGGCTCCTTGAAGAGTCTCCTGGCCTGGTCGTAAGGCCAGTCTTCAGGAACTGGGAACTTCTGTTGGGAAACAGTACAGGTATATGGGCAGTGAAAATCTGAACAGTTTTTGTCAGAGAACATGCCATAAAGATGTTCTAGTAACAGCCTAAGTTTGATCTGATATAAAACGCTACTAAACTATACTTGGTACAGAATTCTCAAAGGCTCAATTTTGTTCCTTTTCAAAACATACCTTAGTGTCGATGTGCTTGAGGATCTCCTCGATGGACTTGTGCTGCCGGATGAGTTCGATGGCTCGTTTGGGGCCGATCCCACGGATGGAGTCACAGTAGTCACAACCCAGCAGGATACACAGGTCAATGAACTACAGCACACAACACACAGGTCATTATAGAACTACAACACACAACACACAGGTCATTATAGAACTACAACACATAATAAAGGAATACATAAATACAACAATACATAATAAATCAATCATACGACAAGTTCTAATAAAGAGTCTAATAAAAACTTTTGTTCCACAATTTTGTACAATTTACGATTAAATACCTTAGGCACTGGGACCTTCTACTTAGGAATAAACGGAGATTTGGTATCCCATGCAGAAGTTTCTCACCTGGTCCTGAGTGAGGTCTAACTCAGCCAGCAGCCTGTCATAGTAGTACTCCTTGATGGGCATCTTTCTGTAGAGAAAATACATTTTTGGTAAAACAAATGATTAGCATATCACTTTATCAACTGAAAATATGACACTTAATTGACACACTACACAGAATAAGTTTCACCAATCCTGTCCTTGACTGACTCCCCTTTAATTTTTCCTTTCAGTAAACTATTTAAAACAACAAAGCTATTCCTGACTGCCCCCTTAATTATTGCTATGTCCCAGCTGGAAACAGCGCCACACCTGGCCTCTGAGAAGGTGAGATGTCTGAGCATGATGTTTGTGCCGAAGGTCAGCACGTCCATGTCCTCTGTCCCGGCGGCGTACACCTTCCCCTTCTTCGCCAGTTCTGCACACTGAGCTTCAGCTTCACACGGTGCCTAGAACAGTTTCAGTCAGTCTGTAAGAACCTAACATCTCTAATCCTGTGTCTCATCAATTCAAAGTTTCATAGCCTTGCATCATTAACCTGGTTAACTGTCTCTCGTGAGCTTGGCTGGCTCTTGGGTTTAATCAACACTCTCTGGGGAATTTTGCATAGGATTTAACCCAAATAAACTAACAAAGTAGATTAATTGAACTGGAGGTTGTTAATTGAACCTGGGGGGGGGGGCG